ATTGGAAAAGATGTAAAGATCACCTAAATTATCTGATTTCCAGGAATCGTTACATTTACTGTTATTTTCAATAATGTTCCAATTTCTTTTTCCAATTATTTTCTACTTTTGCATAAGATTGGGTTTTCAATGTTCTCAAAAATGACAGACAGTATTTTCCTTTTTCTTTTACAAAAGATAGCCATAAAATCATCATCTGATAATGTCATCATTGCAAAATATCCTCATCATTCCAAAATTGAAAACGTCATTAGAATTACAGTATAGAATATACTTATCTGTTATAAAAGTTAGTCAGGGTTCACCAATTTAGCCCTTTGGAGATTACTCTGAATAACATCCTAGGCATGAGTTTATAAAGTACAAAAAAAACAAAACTAAAACCAAGACAAATTAAACACACTGTTTTGTCCAATAAAACTCCCCTAATCAAATCATGAGTTATTCTTTCTGAAGCAAATAGAAGCATGCAACTACTCCAGTACAAACCTTATTTGTTTCGAAGAGTTCTTAATACTGCAAAGACTTACCCAAACTTCTTCAAACAAGTTTAGCATTCTGTTGAAATATAATGACTTTGTTGTTTGTGTAAAATTTACACTGTAGACCTGTGGCGCTTTTTTTTTTTTTTTTTAATTCCTTAAGGTTTAAAGCTGTTTAGTGCACACTAAACCTTAAATCTAATAAACAAGAAAAATAATTCCCTCATTTCAAGCCATGTGCTGCATGTCAGAAGCTAAGCTGTTACACCATGCAGTTAGGTGGGAAGTACTCAAGGAAGTTGTTCCCATCTCACAGCTTTTCTACCACACCATGCTCTTTCTGCCCCAAAGTACACACAACCACAGTGTTTCCATGGGACACCACCACAGAAGAAGTATGCAATGCCAGCAGACATTGAAGATTTAACAGATAGGTTTTCCAGAGTCTCCTCAAGCTCATTCCCTTCTCATGAACACCCTGCTAGCTCTCTTATATTTCAGTTGTGGTAGCTGTTGATGCTGTTCTACTACAGTATCAGTAAGTAATACCACCTCCAAAATAAAATGTCTACAGCCTAACTGTAGACTGAATTTCATGTACAAGTTTGAGCTGAAGATTCTTGGGCATCTGCATGAATGAGAAAAAGATATATGAAATAGTTACAGTAAGAAAAACAGAAAAATACTGAAGTCTAACTCTCCTTATTACATCTTGAAGATAAGAATATATTACTTCTTTGTTTACTTTTTTAAAATATGAAATTACAAGGTAGCTCCTAAGATTTCCTAGTCCTTCAGTACCTGGACTTAGAAAAAAAATGAGAATTTCAAAATATGCTGTACTTAGCTCATCCAGGCTGGATGTGGCTCTGGGCAGTCTGGTCTAGTGGTTGGCAACCCTGCACATAGCAGGGGGGTCGAAACTAGATGATCATTGTGACTCTTTTCAACCCAGGCCATTCTATGATTCTATGATTCATATAAAAATGGGAAAATGGGGAGAATAGATTGGAAAGATTTTCCACTCATTACTGAAGGGCTACAGGAATGGTCGTATCTATGAAGCTAATACATTTGAATATTAACTTGGTTATCTTTTCTCAAATGCTGAGATTAACCTATAATGCCACCAGTGGGGAAAGGAATCTTGAAAATGTTACACTTAATTTTTAATGCATTAAAATATTTTAGCAAAAAAACAAAACAAAACAAAACAAAAAAACATTTACTTTTCATACATTTAGCCCTTTTCAAAGTAAAATAAAATATCTATCTTGTATAGTTAATTGAATGGAACTCACTTGTTTTCCTTTTCACGTTATTTCTGTATAAGAAAAGATTTGTAAAACTTAACGACTTGTCCAGAAAATGCTTTGTTCTTTGTATTCTTATAGGATAACAGGCAAACATCTTCAAATCTCATCATATGATCTGAAAAATAACTTCTTGTGAGCCCACTAAGAATTGTAATAGTTCGTAAGGTCACTTTTTTTCCCACAACTCTTTTGGATTGTGGGTTCATCCAGAATGTTATCTGCACGATATAGTTCATTAGAGCTTACTATCAATTGTCCTCTGCCATACAGGAGACTCAGTTTTTTTATTTAACACCATAGTCTTTGGAGTAGCACTAGGCTGCATTAGCTTGATTTAAAAACCATAACAAGAAAGTGCACAGCACACCTTTCACATTGTTGCAGAACTCAGTTTAAAGTTTAAGCTGTGACATTTTCTAACCTTGTTATTTAAATAATCTGCAAAAATAATCTCTATAATTCTAAGAAGGATAGGGAAGATGTTGAGAAAGTCATAGCTAGTATGATTCCTGTGTAATATATATCTTATCCCAAGCAAACATACTAAAATACCTTTTCTTTATCCCTACAATAAGCACATGGGAATATATTGCTTTTTTGATTGTTTTTAATATTATTCACTTAGCCAATATAACCTGATTAATACTTAATAAGAATGTATATATTGTTTTAAATAGTCACAGATGTTATTTTGCATTACTTTACCGTATTACTGTCACTGAAATTGTGTCCTGCTCCAAAACCTCCAAAACCTAACCTGCAGGAGTTAGTAAAAACTACATGTTTATAAAACCATGGTGACCATAAGCGCTTTAGAAAATGGCTATTAAATAGTAGCCATCATTTCTTAACATGAACCTGTTGATTTAGGATTTCTGCAAACAATCTTTTCAACTGTCAGATAAGCATTGACTATGGACGTAATATTGGTAACCATAAGGATGGGCAAAGTACAAATAGCTATGTATTTGTATTTCTGTACAAAATTTATCACAATGCTTAAAAGAAATCAGCAATAAAACTCTGTAATGCACTTTGAAGAAGTAGGCAAAGAGAGGAATCACTACTTCAGCATTTTACATTCAGGTCCACCTTTGTCCTCTATTAAAATTCTCTAAGAGTAGATATTATTTTTCATGTAGTACATCAAAGGATAATGTCTTGCCAAATGTTTCTTTGAGATTATTATAGAACTTTGGGTTTCGTTCTGTATTATACTTATCAGACTCCTTGCAGAGTGTGATTCATTGTCACATACCTTCAGTGTCCTTTTAAAATCAGGCATTCTTGCAACATTCCCTTGCAACCTTGAGAAGTGTGCATCCAAAGAGAGATATTTACCCCCTAAACCTGTCTGGCAGATATTCCTCCTTAATTTTAGGGAATAGAAGTATACTGTTCAGGAGGATCTTTTTTCTGCATGCTGTAGCATACCAGAACAGTCCAAAGAGATTTTTTAGGAATTAGGTACATTATTCACCTGGAACAGGATTCTGAATCTCAAAAGTATGAGTAGATAAATGCAGAAATCAGTGAAAAGACATTTAAAATTGATATTTAATTCATGATTCTTTTTCTTAACCTAAATGGTTTTAAAATGCTTCTACTTTGTTGCCAATATGTAAAATAGTTTAATTTGGAAGAACTTCTGCACTTGAAAGAATACAATGTCCTGAATCTCTTTTTTCCTTATGCAAAAACTTCCTTTTAGCTTTCAACATACAAGGTCTACTCCATTCTATAACAACAAGCTAAATCAAGAGATGTACATAAACAGAATCGAAAAGGATGTACACTTCCTATTGGCAAACAAGTCTGAATTTTAATTCAAATAGGCTGATTATGCTATATGCAATCTAACTGTCATACAAGTCATGTTAACCCTTTCTCTTCTGATTTGGCCAAGTTTGTTCTTTCTGATTTTTTTGTTTGTTTTTAATCAAAATTCTTGGATTTCCTCTTAGTTAGAACTTCAAATTTTGATTTAATTTGGTACATAGAGATACAGCTCTGATTATAGATCTTATGGATATCTAAACATATTTCATATTTATGTCTAGAATTACCACAACAACTAAACTGGGAACCACTAGCTTTGATGCAATGAAAAGAAAATGAATTTTCTTATTGACTGAGAAATATAGATAGCAAAGAAAACAAAACAAAACAAAAAAAGAACATAGTTTTCACCTTTGTCTAATAAATTCAGTGATACCCGAAACTTTTTGTATAACTTTTCCTGATATTGTGGAATACATATTGTAATATAAAACATAACTGATAACACCATGAGAAGAAAATAATCATAATTTTACATTAAAATTCAAGCAACCTTTTTTTGCTAGTGTGCTGCTTATGTACACTAAAATGAAAACTGTGCTATTCTTCAGTAATGATCCAAAATATTTTAACTATTATTTTTAACGCAATTATTTTTTGGACCATCAAAGCAGAATGTTGTAAGAATTTTAACAAGCTTTTGATCTTTAAAGCCACACTAAAAATGAACTATATCCAAGTACAGAAAAAAAAACAGTATTTTATTTATAATCTTAGTATAGTGTTTGAACTACAAATTCTGATTCTAGAATTGCTTAAAAGATCATGGGTTTTATAGGTTTTCACAAGTAGATTAATTTTATTTTATTTTTTACTTTTTCTTCCTTTTTTTTTTTTCACAGAATGCTCCTTTTGGTAATTACAGAGCAAATAATCAAATCATTACATTGAGGAAAAAAAGTTTTGCTTGTATGTTTGCTCACTTGTAAAGTTGCTGCTAATATTCCATTCCCTGTTGAATAATTTCATAAAGGGCATGAGAAAACAAAAAAAGAGAAAAAGAAGTGACAAAATAGACTGAATCTCACCACTAGTATTCACCATAAAAATTCCCAAAGTGTAACAGAATTCTTACAAAATTTCCTAGGCCAGTTCCTGTACGGAATCAAGATCTCCTATGAAAAATATGGCAAATGGGAACCAGGGTTGGCTGGGAATTAAAAAGGGGAGGAGGAGGGTAAATAAGTGCAGCAAAAAGAGGTTCTGAGGAATACACATAATTTTGTCTGCTTTAGATCACAATAGAATTTTTAATAAATAAATTTCTTTTTCTTTGTAAAGACACTTTTTGAAACAGTAGATTTAGCCCAGTCATTTGTGTCATTTTTTTTATAAACCATATTTTGTTTTTCCCACCCCCACCCCATAATGTCATAAACGTTTTAGATTTGAGTCTCTTGTACATTGTCTTTTGAGTTCATTCGGATCAATAACGGTTCATGCACTGAACTGTGTATTGAATTTATTGTGTTAACTGTTGTTGTGTGGTTGAAAGGAGACTTATAAGAGTTATAGTGATTTAGGTGCTCATGCTCAATTGCTGGCATGGGCAAGTGACTCTCTAAGGGTGTGTCACCTGTAAGCTCATCATCCACGTTTATGATTTCTACAGTCCGTGTTGGAGCATGATGGTTTTGCCGGTGATGCTGTTTCCTCATTTTGTAGAAAATTACCAGCATCACAGCAGCCATGAGAGTGATAGCCACAAAACAACCAATAATGATTTTAGTAGTCTTCATAACCTCATCTATTCCTGGGATCCCGTTGTTTGCGTCCGTCACAGGAATGGTGAACGTTTTTTCTGTTGATCTTGTGCTCTGTGGAGTGAGTGAGGTTGTCATGTTAGTGGTCTCCCAGTTGGTAACTGGTGTGGGCCCAACCTGCTCTGTTGTCTGTGCCTCATCCTGAGAAGGTTCCACAGTCTCCACTGTGACAGTTGAAAAATATGTATAGCCGGGGTTATCCAGGGCAGTCACATTCAGTGTGGCAGAAGCTGTGGTATTCCCAACAGAGTTACTCACCATGCATGTATACAAACCCGTGTCTTGCACAGTTACCTTTGTAAAATTTAATGTGCCATCACTGAGCACAGCAATCCGAACTCTGTATGCCCCATGTGTCATAACAGATCCATTTGGAGTAATCCAAGATACAGAGGTCAGGGAGGTTGATGCCCGGCATTTCATCTCTGCAGCCATGCCTTCAGTGACGTTCAGGTCTGCTGGTGGCTCCACTATGACTGGAGCATAACACGTGAAGTAGTTCAGGTCCAGCTCACCAATGTACCTTCCTTTCAAACTGGGAGGTGTGTGGCAACGGGCACAGCATGCAGTATTAGAGGGTGCCTTGTCTTTAATCCACCAGCTGAGCCAAAGGATATCACAGTTGCAGTTCCAAGGATTGTGATGCAAGTGGATCCTTTCTAGACGAAGTGGTGTGAACAGGTCATGAGGCAGTAGTGTTAGATTGTTGTGTGCCAGATTGATCTCCACAAGTGATTGAAGGTTATCAAAAGCATTCCTTTCTATCACTTGAATCTGGGACTGTATCATCCACAATTTCTGAAGATGCATTAACCCTTGGAAGGAACCTGGCCGGATGGCAGTCAAGTGATTTCCAGAAAGGTCTAACTCATCCAGTTTTACAAGTGGGGTGAGGTTAGGAATCTCTCGCAGATTGCACATGGCAAGGTTCAAATATCTTAAGTTGGACAGACCTTCAAAGGCACCTTCTGAGATGTATGAAAGCCTTTTCAATTCTCCCAAATCCAGTCTCCGGAGAGAAGGGATTCTGTTAAAAGCATAAGAGGGTATGCTCTCAATGGGGTTGTTTCTCAACCAAAGTTCCTTCAGTTTTGATAAGTATACAAAAGCTCCATTTGGGATAGTGGTCAGACGATTGTCAAAGAGTTCCAAAGTATTAAGATTGGCCAGACCATTGAAGGCCCCTATTTCAATTGTTCTGATGTGATTCCTGCTGAGCTGCAGTATTTCTAAGTGCCTCAGATGCTTGAAGCTATTCACCTTAATGATTTGGATCTGGTTCTCATGTAGGTTGAGTAACCGGGTGTTGGTGGAGATGCCGTCTGGCACGTCTCTCAGATTTTTCCGTACACAAATCACTTTACTGAACTGGTTGCTGCAGGAGCAGACTGAAGGGCAAGTTTGAGCCCTCACTAGACCAGCTACCACAAGAAGCTGAAGAGCCAGCAGCACCACAAGCAGGGGGTCAAATAGGGCCCTGTTAAACCTAGGACCTATCATTATCTGCTGTGGATGTAAGGTCATCTTGTTCAACATTCATAATTTATCTAGTGTTGGTCCTTCTGGAGTTTGAATAGTCTGAAAGAAAGAAGGGAGAAGAAGGACATTAAATTAATCCCAAATATTTAAATGTGCTCTCTAAATAAAGAGAGACTTCTCAAGTTCTTTCACACAACTCTACCAATTTAATCAAATTGTAGCACAAATAGCTATGCAAAGTCTAATATTTCAGTTCCTGTACAGTTATGCTAGCTGTAATTCACAACGAGATAAGAAATGTCCAGACTTTTCCTTCTCATTCTAAAGTATAATGCATGTGATATGATGACAGAGGCAGATAACAATTTCAACAGCACTCCATACTTAAGAGAAATATTCTAAATCAAGAAGAGAGTTGAAAGAAGTGGCAAGCACCTCCCTCATCCCCCCCCAGAAAAAATAAGATAATAATCATGAATGTTTAAGGTTTCAACTTTCTTAACACATTATAAATAAATTCAAACGACAGATAATATGAAGAGGGAGTGACAATTCCTGTATTTTTTAATGGGTGAAATTGTTTGTCATTATAAATGGAGTTCCTACATTAGAGTCTGAATAAAAATAAAACTTTTAATACTAAATGTAGTAGATCATGGAAATGTTAGGGCAGTATCTCCCTATTTTAGATTTTAATCACAAAATACAAAAGAAACACACTGAGCACCAGTTCTTCCCTATCATTAAACAGTATCATCCAAATTCACGATATTTCCTCTTCAATTCTTTTGTTTGGCACCAGCAGCAGAGAAACACTCATTAGTATATGTGTGCCCAACACAGAAATAAGAATAGCCATTTAAATGCTGAAAAACATGTGTACCTGCAGGGTTGACAATTTCATTAGCATCTCTTAAAGAAAAAATCCTACAGATCTTACAGTAAGGAGGAAAAAGATTTTTACACTAAAAATGATCATTACCATTCTAAGTCTTTCAGTACTGATTCATTTGTGGTAATTCTTCAAGCCCCTAGCCTTCAGTTAACTTTCAATCTGCTTCTTTCTACAAGGTCCCTCTGCTGTAGAGATTAATGAAATTTCCTATAAATCAGCCAAAAGTGAAGTCTTATAAATTACAGCAAGCTTGGAGCATATTTCTAACCTAGAGCACTCTGATACATAATACATGTATTCAGTAAAATAAAATACTAAAAGGCAAAGGTTTTCCACTCCAGGCTCTGAATTGTTTCATTTTGTTTGAAGAAGCTATCTTTCTGTAAAGAATATATACTAACCTGCATCTCACAGCAATTCATTTAATGAAAGACTCTCTCTAATTATATATTCAGACAATGTATGTTTTGAGAATTCATTTAGGCATTTTTTTGAACTTGTTACAATGGTTCAGATCTGGCAAGAGTTCTCATCTCACATTTAATAATTTACTGCAGAAAAAAAGCCAATGACGGATACCAGTGAATGGAAATTGGAAGATCTGGGCTGTTTGTTTGATTTGCTCTGTAAGTGTTATTTATAAAACATCAATCTTGGTATGAAAGATTCATGAAACTAATGTGTTCTGCAACCTTGAGCAAGTCACTGAACTTCCCTCTCTGTGGCTTAACTTCTGTCATATGATTCTGGAGAACACCATGGCTGTAGTGTCAGATGTTACAGTACTCCTGCCTCTCATTTCCTTCCTTTTGCCAATAACAGCCCTCCTGACCATTGGCTTCATGGGTTTAGGGTGACATACTAGACTCTGATGAGGGGTGGCTGCTGTAATGCTTTTGCTTTTATGCGGGCTTACAGGGTCATTCAGAAGATGCTCTTGTGTCTTTACCCCTATCCCAAGCTTTTGCTTGTTAAATATAGGGATAAACATTTCTAAAGTAATCACTAAAGCATACTAAAAAACAAGTTTTCTTAAATAAAAAATCCACTGTAGTAAAACTATCTGTAAAAAGGGGGATGAAAAGGATTCCATGAAGAGGAATCTGCCTGTTGTGGTCAGACATCAATGAATCTAATATTGATTTCAGGCTCATTAGTTAAAATCTGTGATCTATGAATTTTGATGCTGAATATTTATTAATCATCTTCTGTGATAGCTCCTAATATTTTACCTGTATTTTTTGTCCCTAGTTTTGTTTTATTGTGCAGGTTTATCATTTTTCCTGCCTCATTTTTTTCTACTCTTCTAAAACTTATTCCTTAGTGACTCCACTAATCCGTAACAAAACAGATGCATAACCACATCAAATTATTCTTCTACTGCACTGGAACAACGTTATTGCCTTCACTGTAACTGAGAGAAGAACTCAGCCTGCCCTATCAAGCTTCAGAACTGATTGTTGTTCTTATATGGCTAGTGTGGCCTGGGTAAGCACATGTGGATTGTAGAGCTGTAGCTTTGTTTTATGTTTTGTCTCGTATGCATTTGCTGTTAAAGGCCAGCTTTGCAACAGGGCATAGGACTTCTCTACCTTTCTTTTTGCTACTATGTACTCTCATTCCTGTACATGGGATATCCTGAAGGATTAGACAAGCTACTGGATGAAACAAGAAAGTGTAGCAAACACTACTAAGCATATGAAAGCATAACAAACTTGAGAGAGCAGATGTCTTCAACATCAACCAGCACATGCATAAACTATGCTCAACTGCTTTGCCAGCCTCCATAAAGCCAATCATTTCAACCCATACTGCAAGACCTGCAAGGCACTTCTTTCCTGTTCCAACTTCTTGATTCACCATCTCCCGTCATTCTCTTAATTCACTCCTTTATTCAGAAATTCTTCTTTTTCCATCAATACACACACGCTCCATGGGTTAAAAAAGACAATAATGATAAAAGCATTTTATTTGAATACAGGACTGAAGTACAGAGGATCTGATGATATAAAAAAGTCACCTTGGCCAGCAGAAGCTATGCCAGGCAACCTCTTGAAAATCCTCACTTCCAACCTGCAAGTTTTGCATGAGTCTAATATCCTGTGGTGAGATTCCTTGTGTAAGAAGGAACATATTAAAAAAAAACAGCACTTTCTTTTATGCTTGCATCTTTCCATTACTAAGAGCTTAAGTATTCAGGAAGTGTTGTCTCAGTCATTTTAAGTATAAAGAGTGTGGAAACAGCCTGGGGGAAAAAAAATGTAGCAAGTACATAAACACAGTGGAAAATTAATTTAAAGTCTTGAAGAGCATTATGGAAGTTTATGTTAATAGGCTTTACATAAAGATTTACCTGGAACTCAGAATAATTTGTTATTCAGTATCTGTCTATTATGCTAGAGACACAAAGATTTAGCTTTATAAATCCACACATGGTCTGTGTTCCAGACCATGCTTCTTTAGTCTATGTTGACAACTCTTTGTCTTCTGAGTGATTTGTTTCCATCTGTCTAGTACTAAAATATCAATTCAGTGGTCAATTCAATAACACTAGTGCCCTCTGCTGTATATATTTAAAATTTGTTTAAAAGGCTAAGAATACTCTTATTGCTTTGACTATTCCCCAGACACAATCAGAATTCTTAAACTCTGCTTATATAGTAATATATTTTTTTCTTTATGGTCACATAGAGACAAATACATACAAATATATAGCTTTTGTTTTTTGGGTTTTCTTTAGGGTTTTTTTTTAGGGTTTTTTTTTTTTTTTTTTTTTTTTTTTCTCCACAGAACTGAGAAAATCTTCACTCAAATTGACTCCTGATATGCATTTTCTACTTCTCTTCTACTTACCGGATACTTAGTCCTGATGTAGTACACATTTTCCTCTAAGCAAAAAGCATTGTCCTCTTAAGCTCCAATGCAGAAGATGGAGTAAAGAATGACAAAGCTAATCTATCTCTGCAGACTTCTTCTTAGAGGCAGCTTGAAGGATACAGCTGTTATGCTACTGAAAGTTAACTTTGTCGAGAATGTGTATGCAGAGATGTCAAGATGCCTTCCTCCCAGGCCCTGTAATGAAATTGGTGGTTCATTTTTCATTCCTTTTTTATTCCCTCTTTTTTTTCCCCCATTTTTTATAATCAGGTTTTCGGCTTCATATTAAACTTTCATCACTTTTTGTTATTTTACCAGTATAAAGTCTATACTCACTTCAACCACTGTAGGATTTTCCTTTAACAACGGACTTCGATTCCAAAAAAGGAACTCCTACACCTTTCTGAAAGATCTATCTGATATGGTATGCAGATGGCAAAGATATTTTCCCAAGTTTATGAGCTCTCTGGCTGTATCATTGGCAGTTGCATCTGGCAACTCAGCTTTCTATCTAGTCTGTAGCCCTTTGAGTAACAGTTTCAACAGCGGAGCAACATGATGCAAAGGCCATAGCTTTAACCTAATATATGGTTTATGATATTATATAATCTAATACACTTCAGTTGGTGCTATACATCTCCACTGAAAAAAGAATGAGATGTGAGACTATATATCACTGCATTAAAAATATGGTAAGAAAGTATCAGATATCAGGTGATTGATTACAGTGCAATTAAATCTTTACAACACTCCCTCAAGTTTATGCCCGAAAAGTTCTGGATGAGGACACTATTTACAACTTAGTAAGTAAATATGCAGATATTTTCAGAAAACTCACCTTTTCTTCACTTCATATGGCGCAGTTATGTATGATGTATCCCACACCCTTTTAAAGAGCTTATTGAGAGAAAAACCCTTTGCAAAGATATCTGCATATTTTAGTAAACAAGCCACTCTAGAGCTGCAAATTAAATGGCAGATTTCCAAACATATGAAGAGTATCTATGAGTGGTAAGCAGCTAATTATGCTGGGAAGTCTCTTCCAGTAACATCAGCACTGGAGCACCGCAAATAGTTTCTACACGAAACACAGCATGGAGAAGAGTAATAAAATAGGTCTAAAGCCCAGGATGACCTTATGAAGAAGTGACTCTTTTGACTCTCTTTTGAGTAACTCTGAATGCTCTCAGGGTCTCAGACTGATCCCTCCAAGCAGCAATGCCAGCACAGGAAGTCAAGAAAATTGCAGTATAGATACTGGGAGGCAAGCACACAATCTGTTTTAGCTGAGCAAAACAGTAAAACACACAAGGGCCAGCCCTCATCCCTGAACAGAGACTGAACTGTGGGCAGAGAGATCCACTGGGGTCAGAAATTCTCCACCAACATCTGCTCTGCAAATGCTCCTGCAGCCTCAGATTTGTGTCCCCATATGGCTGTTAAGGGTTGAGCTGATGGAACCACATTGCTTCAAATTCATTCATTATACTTTCTTGTTCCTCTTCCTGCCTTTTCTGGCCTGAAATCCTTTCCACCTGACTGAACCTCTGTGGACTAGTGTTGAAGTGTAAACACTTTGCGTGCTCATATTCAGTAAAATGACATTTTTAAAAGTTCCTTGTTTTTGCTACCGACAAAGAAAACCACACTATATTATTCATAGAGCATCACAATAATAATTATACAAAATCAGCAAATAGACTTGTTAACGTAGATCTCATGTCTCTTTCCTCTTAGCCTTATTTTTTTTATCACTGAAACTATATAGCTGTGTATCCCTTCCTCCATTCTTAAAAATGAGATTTTCCTTTCCACTGCTGTAGGACTTTAAAAGTCTCGAAAGCAGCTTAGGGAGCCATTGCAACGATGCCTAAAAACCTGCGAGGTTTCAAAGCCCAGCAGCTTTTATCTATTTGTCAGTCATTTTATTTGCAGTTAAATACAGTGGAGGCCAAAAAGGGCTAGACAGGCAGCCCTGCCATGCAAACTGATTACTTGTGAGATCAGATAAATCAAAACTCACAACACAAATTATTTTCCTCTTTGCATGTTTCATTGCTTCACTCTGGGACATAGTCAAGATTTCCTACAGTCCCTTGAAGCATGTAAGTGTAGGATGCAGGGTGGATATTGCTGTATCACAAATGCTTTCCAGTTCTCTTCTGAAAACCCTCTAAGACTTAAATGAATCACACAAACTAAACAGAAAGACCTAAATGTGGTTGGACACATCCAATCCTCCTGAATCGCCACTGATTGCAGGGGAGTTAAATCAAGGATAAGTTTGATCCAGTCTGCCTTTCCATTCTTTTATTTCATTTTGGTATACAGAAAACAGCTTTATTTCACATGATTTCATGTTTCCTCCAGTATGCCTTCCTAAGGCTTATAGAGTTTAATTTAAATGAGAGTTTAATCTAAATCAGTTTTACATGTCCCTTTATTTATACATTTTCTTTTACTCCCAAGTTTGACCTGTACTTTGTATTCTCAATAAAGCGAAAACATTTGCTATTTACAGGATAACCACAGGAAATATCAGAAAATTGATATTTCTTTATTTTTATATTTACCTACATATTATTTTTATTAAGAGTAGTTTGTTGGGTTGTTTTACTGATTGTGATACTTTGTGAGGATATCACCCTAAAGGTGAAAAGAAAAAAAGTAATTCCCTTCAGACTACTCACAGTTGTGTAAATGGAAGCAATCTATGAACTAACTTTTCACTATGAAAGAACTTAAATTCTTTCATGAAGGCTATCACATTACAGCTTGCTAATAGTACACCCAGCAACATTCTAGAAATTTAATTGGAATTAACTTTTAAAGTGGGTTAATTATATTGCATTAAATCTTTGTGTGGACACTCTTATTTAGAATTTAATTCACGCTAAATTGAATCAAGGCCACTGTAATTTCAATTAACAGTGTCCATAAAAGAATGTAATGCAGTTTAGCCAGTCTCTTTTCAACGTTAATTTGGATTCATTTTCTTGAAACCCCATGTAGACATTAGCAACTTGCATTCTGTATTGACTTGGGCTCAGTTCAAACCAATTATGTGAAGGCAAAAACGTTTTCTATCACAACACTGATCCCTCAAATTATTCAAGTCATATTTTGCTCTTCCCTTTTCACTAATTCATTTGATAAAACACTGTTCTTTTAACATATTGCTTTACTTTCATCTTCTGTATTCTTCTAAGGCAGATATTTATATAGAGTGAACAACATGACTGCATAGAAGCAATTTTGCAAGAGCCTGGATACCATAATTTTCTTAATTACTTATGTCACTACGTGCCAACCATGATATAAACAAAAGTCATACAAATACTTTCAGGATTTCACCTGAAGGTATACACATCAGTGAACAGCCACTAAACTGCAATATATAAATAATGATTGAAAGGATGCTTCCTCAATCTGTTTTTGGTTTATTATCAAAGCGAAATGACAGTTACTCTTTTTAGAAGACATCTGTGAACCACAAACAAGTTAATAAAAAAGAAACCCTTAGTAAAAAATTATATGAAATGCTACAGCAGTGTTCCAAACCGCTGCATTCTTCATTTCTGCCACATTAAGGTCACCATTTTAGAGCACTGTGGTACTTTTTTTTTTTTTTTTTTTAAACAGACTAGCAGTGATTTAAGACATCTATTTAAAGGCACTACAATCATACTTAATTCCAAACAAACCAGTTTTAGTTTGGTAGCATATTATCAGTTGTTACATGGAGATATTAAACACTATAAATAGAATCATTTTCTACAACAGGCTACAAGATTTTAAAGAAACAGGTAAAAATTGTCAGGTTACATCTAAAGGATATTAAAATGTGTATTTGGTATAGACGCAACGGCAAAAAAAGCGTGACTGGTGCATTCCAAGACTTTTCCCCTTGTTCCTTCCCAAATTGCCTCCGTACTCACAAACTATAAGATAGAAATGATGGAAACGTCAGATCAAAACACCACGTAGTCTGACAATGCTCACACAACCGTATGCATATACAACCAGAACAAGGAAGATCAAATAGAAGAAATGGATATTAGATTATATATTTGTCCTTATGAAAGTTTCATCCAACTCTTATGAAATGCATGTTCAGATTTTAAAGCTAAAAACGAATAGCATTTAACAATATATATATTAATTTACTGAATATGCTAATGGTGGATATTCCTTCCTCTAAAACAAAAGATCCTTTGATCATTACTGAGTTCGTAACCTCAGGAGCTAGCGTAATCTAGGAGATAGAAATATTTTAATTTGATAAAAAATATCTTTGTGAATTAGCAGTACTGTCTATGCATTGGCAACAGGGATGCTCTGGTAAAAAACTGAATTAATTAAAAAAAATTAACTTTTTTTTTTTGAGATAAGAAGATCAGAGGATTGTCTACTTCACTGGTATAATGAATGGTGTTTGTGCTTTACAAAGTGCAGTTTTTCCAAATACATTTTGTAATACACAAAATGGAGGGAACTGAATGATAAAAGTAAATTATTGTAAAGTAGCAATGCAAAGTCTGCATTAATGCTTTTTTTTTTTTTTTTTTTTTTTTTTTTTGTATCAATTAGAATGCATATCTGCCTAAATACATCTACACTGTAACACTGTGTTAAGAAAGATGCTTTCCTATTTTAAGACATGAATTATTTGATACTGAGTTGGAGAAGTGCTAGATAAGTATTTCATAACCTTGGTAACTATAGACTGCATTGCTAGTATGCATTATTCCAAAAGACCTGGGAGAAACAAATCCAGCTAACACACTAAAGCACCACGGTCCATTTTACATCACTGCATTTGTAGTGGCTAACTGAGTCCAAATTACTCCCTCATTCTGTTAATAAACATAGAGACAAAGTGAAAAAGAGACAGAAAATAAAAAGTTATGGCTGTGAATAGCCTCGAGTCTGGCAACTGATGGTCAAATTTCTTGTCCTTGGTAACTATGGAAACCCCTTAAGGTAAGAGTAGAACACAGGCATTTTGTGTTGTGCAATTTACAAGCTGTTTATTTAATTATGAAGGAATACAAAACTGTTAGAGGCAATGCAATTATCATACTGTGATAGCATTTTGAGAGAAAAAAAATAGGTACAGAGAATTGTAAGAAGTTAATTTTTTGAAAAATTACCTGTTTTAGGACTTTTATGAATCTGCCATACATTTTTTTTTT